CAAATATTTTTCTATCATATATTAATTAATGCCAGTATAAATTAGCTTATTTATCATTATTATTCCAGGTAATAGAAGCACTGATTTCATAATCAGAAAGGTTTAGTAAGGTTTTTCCCCAACAACGTTGCCGGGTGGATCATAGTTGCACCCAATGAAGGTTCCTCCAGCGCTATGAGTCACTTTAGCACATCCTAGGCGAACAGAGTTACCCCAAGCCACTTGACTATAGTGCCCACACTGCTGGCCAGAGGCACATGAGTTGGAGTTGTAGTCGTAGTAAGCCTCCTCATCAACCCCCTTTTTTACAGCATCCGTATCTGAATGGACAAGGTTGCAATCGCCGGCACGTTGGTTAGCATAATTTTGTGCATAGGCTTGCACTGTGGTGTCCCAGGTTAGATCTGATGTCTTCATTAGTTTCCATTCTTCGAATAATATCATAATCAAATCCAAATCATGGTTTTGAATATTTTATGCCAGCTCAGTTGTCCACATTAATTCCATTGCCAATTAAGTTTATATTGGTTTAATTTGAGGACATCCATGACCCTCTCTTTTTTTCTCCGATTGAGACCAGAATGATCACTTTGTTACAACCGATGACAAATTAATATACGGATCTTGCAGCAAGGCTGTACCCTAACTGTTCTAGTTGAGTTTTTCTATGTGATTTCAAGTTTTAGTATATATACATGTGATTCCGTGATATCATACATGTTTATTAGGGTTACAGTATGTCCAGTAAATCTAAAAATTAATTATCATATGCATAAGTTAGTTGGGATATTTCGAAATATCCCAAAAACAACATGAATTTTACATTATAATAAATAAGATTTATAAAAAGTTGTTTGTTTTTGCAATTAAAACTGTATTTTTAAAAGTAAAATTAGCATGAAAAAACATCAAAAAGCATAGTAAAAAAAAATTAGTACCCATAGAATCGCCCTTTTCTTTAAACACAAACATACAAGTAGATTTTGGTCCTGAATATTATAATTATGCAAACAAATCCTTCAATAGAAAAGATTTCATTATCTTCTTATATATTTTATTGTTTTTGTGGCTGACTACTAGCTAGAACTCCAAGCAACATAATTCAATACGGGCTTTGACCCTCAATGTTTCCAACAGGATCATAATTGCAAGTGACAAACCACCACCCGTTCTTGCACTTAGCTCTGCCACACCCTAAATGAACCGATTTGCGCCACACAACCTGAGTGTAATGGAGGCACTCGTCACCAACACATGAGTTGGTATCGTGGCTATAGAAAGGCTTCTCACTTGCCCACATTTTGACTGCATCCACTCCATTCAAGTTACCATAACCTTCAGCAATGTTCTCACCATAGGGTCCTCCTGAATGCTCTAATTCACACTTTTCAACCCTTGAATTTGCATACTTTTGAGCATAGGCTGCCACAGTGTTGTTCCAAGTAATTGGACCAACTCCTACTTCAGCACGAACGGCATTATGTGCATCGACATAGTCTTGGGGAGAATTTTGGGCTAAGGTGATGTTAACCGAGACGGATGCCATCAAGTATGCTGCTAATAAGAACTTGCTGAACCACATCTTCTTTCTCTATGCAAGGCAGAACTGAGAACAAGTCAGACAAGTGATCTTTGAGGTTCTTAATACAATGAAGTATAAGGTGTGTATTTATAGAAGGGGGAAAAAAGGTAGAAAAGTCATCACACGAATTAGATTTTCAAAAGGTAGAGATACTTTTATTTACGAGTGTAAAATGTCAGATCATCATCATTTTATTAATGTACACGAGAAAATAAGACAATTGATCAATCACTAATAAGCGGATACAACAAGGTATATAGAAAAAGCTAAGTAGGGCCGAGGATAACGATATTTTTGGTGCCTGCCTAATGACTAATATACCATATATCACCACACTTACATGTCTTAAGAGATTTCTAATTATTTCACATGTATAAAAATCAAATTGATAATAAGTTTGCGGGAATTGTTCCTATAATCTTCTATATCTAGCAAGATTTCTGTCAATTTAGTTTCGTTTTATTTATCCTCTGTCAAACAGTATGGTCTCCACATAACTAGGAGTATTTCATGAAATTCATTTCCTGGGAAATCCCACTGGGGTTAAGACAATCATTCTTCATTATCAGAGCATCATGATTCAAAAGGAAAGGAAAAAACACAAAATAAAAGTTTTAAAATCAGCAACAGCAATGATGCATGATTACAAGCTTCTTTGATTTGTCACTAGTTGTGAAGATTGCAGAGTTGTCAAATTACTATGAACAAAAGAACTCTTGTCAAGTTAGCATTTCGTGTACTAATGTAAAGAGTAATTCCGCCTACGTTAGTATTGTTTTTATCATCTATTTATCTTTTGGATTCGTGGTTTTATTTTATTTTTATAATGTTCATGATATGCTATCAATCATGTTCTTACAAGTTACTGAGAACTTTTTGTGGCGGTAATTGAGGAACCTGTAAAAGAGGGGAGAAAATCAAAAGAAGAAGATAAAATTGAAAGAGGACCATATAAAGAATAAACTCATGGATTTAACAGTGAGATCATGTGAATAGAAGTCGCTATCCTATCTTCCGTGTAACAAGCGACTGAGCTCACAATTGTTGCACTAAACATTTGAATATGCCCAGGTTAAGTCACTAGCAAACAGCACATGATGAGACCCAGCATTTCACGGATCCATTACAGAAGATTTCTTTAAGCAAATGACTTCAATTCATAGTATTCTTCGCATGTGAACTCAACTGTCGCACGTTTGAAAAGAGTGCTGCTAGAAAAAGTAATGCTTAGAGTATCAATTGTCATCTTTGTCTAAGCAAACAATGATATTTTCTACCCATGGGAGATTGATACCTGGGAGTGGCGTGCTTCTGAAACCAAATTCACGTTATCAGCGCAGGATTCTCAGCAGCCAAGAATTTATCGTCTTCGAAAAAAAAAAAAAGGCCTTCGAATTCTTGCTGATGATTACCTAATATTGAGCTCATTTTAATTATGCTTGTAGAAATGGAAATGTATGTTCCCGGGAGAACTTTGACAGTAAAGAAAACTTCTCATCTACTCTTCGCCGCAACAAAAATAAAACAAGAATATTAGATAAGGGATTTTTTTTTTTTTGTTTCTGTTTCTGTTTCTGTTTCGAGATAAGGGATTTACGTACTTGGTGACAAGGTTTTTTTTTAACTTAAATTTGAATACTGGGTTGAGTTTGTTTTCTTCAAGCATTAGGATAATAAAAATATTGTCTATTTTCTTCGTTTTAGTTGATTAGCACATTTAAATTAAAATATTCTTATTACCCAAACATGCTAAAATATCTAGGGTTTAATGCACTTACTTTACTGTACTGTTTTTATGAACTTTAAACCTGCTTCTCTAAGTTTTTTTTTTCCTCTTTTTCATTTTTGTCTTTTAATTTTATCTATTTTTATTTTTAATTGCAATCTCAATTTTTTTTAAAATAATAAATTTAATTAACTAGGTTATCAATTCATATATATGATTTGATTTTAAACTTGAATTATATAGCTTTTTTATTTTTTCAGTTACGCACTCATAATTTTTTTATCAAACAAGTTAATTTTTCATCAATTAAATTAATTAGGCAACGCTAAGAAAATTTTAAGTTAATATTAATTTTCACATAACATAATTTTAAGTTAATATTGGACAAGAAGTTAAGTATAAAGATTTTAATATTAATCCATTTTATAATAATAATAAATAATTATCCATATTTTGTACAATTTTTAATTATGTTTAAAAAAATTTTGATCACGAGTTGTAAATTAGTTATAGACTAAGGTAAATAAATAAAATGCGGCTTGGTTTTTCTAAAAAGAAAAAGAAAAGATGCAGCTCAGTTGCTCGGGCAGGCCTTTAGCCCAATTTCGCTGAGTAAACAAGATTTTCAGTTATGGGCCGAGAAATGGAGAGAATTCCAACGTTCCTTGCAAACCAAGGGCTTGGTCCACAAACATGTCCAAGGCCTCGTGGGCATTAAATAGACCCAAAATAGGTTCAGCTAAAGGAATCGGCCCATAGTAATGAGCCTTAAAGATGCAGAGCTAATAAGCCCTACTATCTTCTCAAAAAAAGAAGCCCTAATATCAATTCAGGCCTGCTAATTTGAATACAACTTCTTTGGGTGTGTCGCATCCATCCTCCTCTTATTAACTGCTAAGTTCTCACGGCTACAATTGAAAAAGATTCATGAAACAGAGCCCACTCACTTGGTTGGATGACACTCTGCGTTAAATTCCAGTTGCTTAGGACGGTGTTCTGGCACATTAAAATCATAAAAAAACACATAAATAAACTAAAATAAATTTTTTTTCCAAAAGAAATGACGAAATGATAGTTTAACTGCTGCTCGGAATAGCCTCCGGATCACTCGTGAAGCTCTCCTTTGCTAGGTTAAAATTAACCCGCTTTCAATGGGAAAAGCTAATAACAACTTTGTGGTTGATAACAAAGAGGAACCTGGTTAAGTGAAACACGTTCTTCTCTGTTTTCATTGCTTAACCATACTTCCCTTTTCTTTTCTTTGGAAGGGAGAGATTATAACGGGCAAAAAATGGGAAACCACCACTAATGGTGGGAAGGCAAGAAATGACGACCAGCATGGGCTGAACATTTTGGTAGCACAGCTAGCTAGTCAATAGAAATGCCACAACTTAATGCGGCACCACCATATATAGGTCATAGTTGGACATAAATACCCAGAATGATCTCTGTTTGCTAGGTCTTGTGAAGCCATTTAAAGCCTGCCTTTTTTCTCTCTCCTCCCTCTCTTTGTATATATTTTTGATTGACCAGCAGTTTGAGACAAACTAGGAGTTTCTACAGTTTCTCTCCTCTTCCTTCCTTCCTCCCTTAAGGTGTGCCACCTTCTCGTTCATGTCTCTATGGTTTATAGCTACTGTAATTCTTAACTTCTCCAAGTCTTTGCATTCCTTTTTATCACTTCATTTATGTTCTACCGTATTCTTGCATTAAGAAAGAACAAAAATCATGACTTCACGCATTTTGTGCATGAGATTTTCACAACGCATTAATTGAAGAAATTACGATGCATTATTGTCTTCTCAAAAAAAAAAAAAAAAAACATGGATCCTATTCTAAATTACTTGCGCAGGGTTTTTGAAAACCTTAATCATAAAGAGGACGTTGTGTGCTTGGATAAAGTTAAGGAAGACTTCTGAGAATTACGTTACATAATGATAATGTTGATATTACATAATCTTTTCTTATTTATGTGAAATCACAAAAGAGTAAAAAAGAAAAACGAGCTGTTCTATTACAATGTCTTACAGGGCATATTGTAGAGGGCTCGGGGCATTGTTTCTTTTACTCCCTTCTCCTTTTCCACGTAGAAATGGCTTGTTGACTTGA